AAGTTTCAAGATACGATTTCAAGTATAGACACAAAAAATATCAGTTTTCTGCTTTTTGTGAAATAATCACTGTCTAATTTCAAGGCAATTTATGGAAGATGGCTAGTTGATGGTTACCCAAAAGTTATTTTATTCGATCTTGCTTCTGGATCTGTGAAAATGAATGAATGGAAACAAGAAATATTGGAAAAGTTAGTCAAATCAAAATTTTATCTGCATAAAAGTTGTACTGAAGAAAATTATATCTTGTGAGCAAGCTTTATTCAACAATACGACGATTTTAATTGTATTTATTCTAAGATAAAAAGTTATAATAAATACTGTCAAATTTTAAAATTGCGTTATTTAATATTAATTATGAGGCGGTCTTTTTATTCTTAACAAAATTTGCCTTAAATCAATCATTTTTCAAATCAAAATATTACTCATTCTATTTGTTTCGATAATATTTTCATTAAATAAGCAATAATATTTATGCTCAGAATTAATTTTACTTCAGTTACTGCAAGGATTATACTGTTTCATAAATCAGTTCTTATTCACAAAATAACTAATTTTGCTTGAAGAACTCTCTAATGACGTTTGGTTTATATGTTAAAAAACATGAAGGTTTTTTTGAAAAAAATAACTGTTAGAATGAAAAAACTTGCTATTCAGATTTTTTTCAAATGAATGTTTGAAATAGTATCTTTTTTCTAATCTTTGAAAAATAATTTCCGCAAGGCTTTATCATATCATTGAAAATGCAGATGCCAAATCGGGGTACCACACGAAGATATTGAATCAAATGATACAATCATTTTCGGTTTCATGGTTGCCATTTTTTTGAAACATTTCACAGAAGCGCACCAGAAGTGTAATTACCATAGCTTAGTTGTTGCACATTTCCATGAGTGGCAATCAAGTGAGTGATTTTTGTTAAGTATATCTTTAACGAAGTTTTAATTCTGTATATGTTTGTAATTCAATATAGATTGTGATAAAAAATCGCACACAAATTGAACAAGTCTGTCTTGATACTGACGAATAAAACTTAAAAGCGAAAGCGAAATTTGCCTACTTCTTGAGAGTTTTGCGATGAGCCTTAATTTTGTCAACTGTATTAATTTAGGTAATAAAATTATGAAGTCAA